TTCGTCTTCATCTTCATCCTCTAGAACAGCAACCCATTCCTGAAGTCAAGAATATGGTTGCTTATGAAGCATTTTAAGGCATGGCAAAAGTATTCCTCTCATAGAGATCCTTAATGACTAAATATAAAAGGTGAAAATAATTTTGTTCAACCTCCTCATCTCCGTTTTCTCCTTCATCCCCATCCTCCTCACTGTCATCTTCGCCTTCACTTTCATCATCTTCAGTATCATAGTCACTATCAGATAGGCCCATCATCTCCATTTCCTTGATCATCTCCATCGTATCAAAACCTACTATTACTTGCTGCAATGCAACCATAACTTCTTAAAGGTGTATACAGAATACGGTAGAGCAAAAACTACACCGAGTAGCATAGTTAGTTAATCAATAAAAACATATTGAATGCATGCTTGTGAGTGTAATTTAGAAGAATGGTAAATTAAGAAAAGAATAAAATGTCACAAGATAGCTGCTTTAGCTACTGTAAGTCTGTAACAGAGAAGAAGAGAACTCTCCTTCTGTGAAATCCAGGATTCAAAATGCTTGGAATATTCACCCTTTTGTTTTATGAGGTACAGATGATGCAAATAGGATATGCATGTCATGTCATGTGCAACATACCACATAATTATTTTCAGAAGTAACAGACTGCATGATGTCCTCATCCTCCTTTACTTGAAAGTATAAATCTGCAGAGCATTACGGTTATTCAGTTTAATTTGTGATGGTATTAGGTAGTTTAAATCTAAACACAGGGCACTAAGGGTGATTAAATTTTCTCTTACTTCCATTTTGATCTGTTATATAAGGTATATCTGGCCATAGAATATTCTCATGACCTCCATCACCAACTGAACCTGTAAGCATCAAGGTTCCTTTATTGTTCACCTGAACATGACACACTACGGGAAATGTTAGATGTACAAAACAAATCGTAGACAAAATATGAAAGACTGTAAAACTGTAAATGGTAGAACATATTTCCATGAATACAATGTATGCAATGCAGTTACATAGGCTTTGTCAAGATAAATTATTTTCTCTAAATACGAAGAGTCTATAGAAAGATAATGCTGATAGATAAATACTGAAGCAACCCACAATAAGAGCAAGTAGAACCACTAAACGCATTAACATGAGAATGCAACAATGCATATCAAATAAGGCAATGGTCCAACATCATTTTTTTCCCAAAGAGATAGCTTATGTTGATTGAAAGACGCAATATAACACCTCAATGATGGTTCTAGTAGTTTCTGCAGGTGAAAGCCTTGAGTCTCCAGCATTCTGTGGCAAAGAGGCTCTAACTTCTTCTGAAGGATGATACCTTGACTTCCCAGTTTGCTTTTCTGGATCTGAAGCTGAATCCAAGTACTCAGCTGTGGCTTGAGTTCGATTCTTCCTCGGGTATTTTCTCGTTAAACAGTCATTGTTGTACTTCAGAAATCTGCTCGTAGAGAAGCGCATATAAGTCAGTTCATTGTTTTCAACAAATGGTAATAGAAATGTGAAAATTTACATATAAAAAGAAAACCCCGAGCAAAAGTTCAAAAGATTCGACCTTTAACTGGTTCAGAGGTACACTGACGAAGTATCTAACTTAGTGTCCTAGACGATTACGAAATACCAGCTTGACATATTGCATTAGTACCGAGTATGTCAACACTAAAGATAAGCTATTCACAAACTAGAATCTAATAGTACCAAGACTCACACAACAAGAAAACACTTTCTTCAAGTTTTTTTCAAAAAAAGCCCAACAAATTACTTGGTAGGCAAAAAACCTATTTCTACAATTCGATGGCGAAACAAAGGCAATCTACAGTACCCAGCAGTATTGTTGAGACGTTGAGGCTGAAAAACTCGTCGGGACGCATAATGAAAGCAGCTCACTCCCTCCTCCGTGCTCGCTGCAGGACGATACTCTGCAAAATTATAAGACGAATGAATAAAAAGAGACACATTTTCAGGTATTACAAAGATGAAATTTGAAGAACAGAAATTGAAC